GAAACGGATATGATAGCAAAATTTATTGTACGAATCAAACAGAGTAATGATTCAGAGTGTTATAGCAGAGTGTGTCGAGTGCTGATTTTGGGATCGTTTATATGTTAGGGTTTGGACCCTCTGGAAGGGTGTCGTTTGACACCAGTCACAAGTGGCTATCTTGTTACTCTCTTCTGCGCCTGGGACATTATCTGATTATCGTCTCGATGGCTGTGGCCTGCAGGATGTTTGTCAGGCGTGGTTATCCTATTATTGTTTTATGACCCTGTGACAGGGTCACCGGTGACCGGCGCGCCAAGATTTGTAGAAATACATAATTTGAACAAATGTCGATAGTTATAAATTTTGTATTATTACCATCGTTACTACAATGGTGTGACCAAATCAATACAGTATAAAACATAAAAATAGTTTTATTTATGCGTAAAATATAGATCTATTATGTGCGCCCCCATCCCAGTGATTGTCGAACATGAGAAAAATTCGCTTTTTCTGTGCTTTACCTTAATGAAAAATAACCCTACGGAACGTTTCGACCTGAAAGATGTTTGATGACGATTAAGGGCCTTGACAGGAAAGTAAAAAATGCTAAATCTTGTGACGGTTCTCTAGGATTATTGCGGGTCCGAAAAAGTATGACAGAGGGATGAATTATGATTTATGGTAGATCCTGGGACGTAACGACATAGTACAATTATTTAGCAAAACGAAGAAACAATATGAGATAATTGATAATCGCAAAAAAATAAATGAATCGCGCGAAATCGCACTTTTGCGCCATGGGCTAACCTCGGTAAGATAAATTCATTAATGATGACTATACACCGTAACACATCTCTTGTAGGTAATATTTCAATATTATACGTATCACATAATAAAAAATTCATCGTGTCGCCACGAGCAATCCCTGTAAAACTAGCGTGGCATTCAACGTGTTAAGCATAATTCAAATATAGTCAACTATAATAATAAGAAATATAATCAAGTATAATCGGAGCGGTGTTCTAATCCAAAGACAAATGACAGACTTCCAAGACCCTAACCAAGTTGAATATAAAATTCTCAAAATTATGAGAAAATTATGAGAGTAATACTATTTAGCACAAGTACATTAATGTGATTTTCAATCCGACAATTATCCAACTATTGAGATACGCAAGGTGTCCGAGTTGAAGCAAGTCACCTAAATATCTCCTTCGTTTTTATGATATAAAAAATTGATGAACTTGTACAACCGTTGCGTTCACGTCGATTTTAATGATTTCTGAATATGTTGCAAAGCTCAACATTTTCAACTACTTCTTCATTTTGAACTTTTTCCTATGCATATAACCGTTAGTCGGCCTCAGTCTTCGAGATGTTCGCAAAAACTATCAGTACCACTACAGTGAATTCTACCCATAGTTGTGCGCCTGTAGTAGCGTATGCGTTAGTATTGGTTGCCGACCGCCGACCGCTTATCTTTTGTTTACAAACGAGGGACGGGCGACCTTAAATGCCCAGGGTATAACGTGCATATGCGAGGCTGCAAGAAACGACTACTGCAAATCACCTAAAAATGAATATCATCAATGTATTTGGTTTCAGCCAGTTATTTTAATCCAGTCGTCACGAGGTCAGATATAGCGACAGATATAGTAAAAGAGTCAACAAACACCGAAACCCTTTAATCACTGGACTACTTGATACGTCGGACCAGATCCGCAGGCTGAAGAGACACCACCCGCTAGACCTAAACGCTAGATTCAATTAGTTATTTAAATTAAGTAATATTTACTTATTTATAATACTTACTTATAAATTATACTTATCTATAATAAGTATTAACTTATTGTAAATAATTAGCTATGTCAATGCGCCACGCCAGAAAAAATTACTAAAAATTCTCAATGCGAGAATTGATTGTAAATTTTAATAAATAAAAAAAAAGACGAGGTCAGATAATTCATCCAATAATCCTCGCGGCGGCTGGATTCAAAAATTTAACTCAAACCTGGACTCAATACATTGATGATATGTTTTTGTTTTTAATTGAATCACAGTAGACATATAGCTTCTCTTATTAGCTGCACCATAAGTGTAAATCAGATCGATTTGTTCTTGCTTCGAATAATTGCAGGCCATTGTGAGGTCGTTTACCAATACACCAATAATCTCTTCGTAGTGAGGTAGGAAACGAACCTTATGTAAATAATTGCGAGAACACCACAATCCATACTTACTCGTATCCGGACGCGTATCACTCCCGACGGACATTATTTTGAACATTTAATAACATAACAACTAAGCTCAAATATTACCCTAACAATTTCATCACATTGTTCGTTTTCAATTATCTGAAGGGCATTTCAAAGTCATGATTCAGACATACTCGAATCATATCGTATTTTATCATCCGCTACAAGGATCAATAAAAAAATACGTTTTCCACATACAAAAAAGACCAATGACCTTGGAAAAACCAAGAAAATGGAGAGACAAACAAATTTTTCCAGATTATTTCTTTTTTGAAACCATAAAAAACGTACCACGAACATTTTTTATATCATAAAAAACGGAGGAGATATTTAGGTGGCTTCCTTCAGCCGGATCACTTATATAACAAAAATACTGCAATTATGTAAAACAATTCGTAAGTTTGAAACTGTGATATCTAGAAATTTTGCACAATTTTCAACGTGGAAATATCAAAAAAATGGAGAAAATTTATATTTTTAAAGAATAATACAAACATTTTTTAAAGAAATATAGAAATGATTAGCCACATTTGCCCATAATTATTTTCCCATGGTATTAAAGAGAAATAACTCTAATGCAATGAAAAACTCTAAATTACATACCAAAATAATCGATTCTCCTTTCGATATAGTACACCTACTCTATCTATCTAATGTACACTGCCTATCTCCGTCCCTGTTCTAGAGAATTGCAGTTGACAATAACATCTTATCTACAGACAGTGTATAATGGACACCGGTTCCGCGGACACGCTTCATCACATCGAAACTGTTAACAGAACCAGACAGTCGGGCGCATAGTTATCGAAACGTACATATATGTACTAACAAAGATTATTCACCGTCGGAATTAATATCTAATTATGGATATGACGGGGGAGGAGGAAGCTGTCGGTAACAGTATTTGAGCGTCCAGTGTGCAATACATATACCGCTCGCTTAGCCGATGTTAGCGATGGTGGACAGAGGGAACAGGAATCAACGTAAACCGATTGTGAATGATGCAGTCCTGGACCCTGGACTCTAGACACGCGGTATCCCATTTCCATTCGAAATGAATCCCAACAGCGAGAGTGGCCACACTTCCTCGAGATTTCCGATACGGTGCTTGCACGTGGCGCTCATGAACCCGCGAAACTCGACGTCGCTTCCTGCATATGATGCTTGTTATGCAATCGAATGCGGATTGTATTGTGCGACCAACTGCCTCTACCACAGATCGAAATGACAATTATGCCTAGAGAACCATCGCTCGTTCTGATTCACTATCCTTAGATCAGATTAGATCGATGCCGAAACGAGTTTTTTTATGTAGTGCATGTGGGATGATGAATGTGAATTGGATCCATAGACTATTAATATTAGTTTATCTTGACATTTTTAAGAATATTCAATTTTAATTTAAGTGTCGTATTGCTGTATGCCGCTGTATGTATGTGTAGAGTTGTGTGCTGTATACTGTATGTATAAGGTATAAGGTATGTATAAGGCAAGTATGTGAAGGATATTCGAACCGTGTATTATTATACAGGCGAAAATAATTAACTTCGCTTTCTGAAATTTTTCAAATTTTGCTACCAAAACACTTTATTGCTACTATCTTATGTAGTTTTATCAATTTTCTTTATTTTTTATTTTGCGGAGTTTATCGATTTGGCAAATAAGAGATACTTATAGGACCAATTCTAGGCAGTAAATCAAAACGATAAAAGAATTTCATGTACAAAACTTTAAGATGACCTGAAGTTTTGATGTGAGATTGAGTTTACTTTCAATGATATTAAGGTGATCTTATACGATTATGAAATCACTGAATTATTTTCTCCACATTGATCTTTCCAAAATATACGTTTCTAATCAATGTTCATTTTTTTGATACTATTTGTAATTTAGATAAGATCGCAATGTACACTATAATCGCAAACATGGCGAGAAAAATACGTTTAATCGAACAACATCATTAACACGATCGCTTGCTATGGAAGCAATTTGCTTATGAGTTTGTCGTTGCCAGTTCGCTGCATTTCATTCCCTGAATTTTAATTAGCTAACCAAGCTGACCTATCGTAGCCGGTTTACCAGTTTCACAAAAACAAGTTTGACATCGATGCTCATTAAATACTCTCGAATGTTGGTCCTCGGCGATGAGGTTTCGACTGAGATTGTATCGAGCTAGAATCGAAAGGTACATATCTCTTTACGAATAATTTACCTCTTAATTAATAACAAGGAGAGAGAAGTTAGTCTACTACAAAACTCATTTATATTGAGAATTAAAAATCAGTGTGGTCTAATTGTAGTCAAGATTTTGGGACTTTGAATCTAGTTGCGTATTTCGACTTTTAAAAATACCATTCCTTTAATGTCATAATTAATTAAGTTTACCTTTATTTTCTGCCATGTTACATTTTTATCACATAAAAAGAAATAATTAAATTTTTATAATAGTAAACGCAGAATGTCGTAGCGGCACTAGGCCGCAAAAAACAATTCTTTCCAACGGTTTCTTCGGTAGATAGCATAGCATCGTTGAAAGACTGTTTATGAGAGACCGACGAAACATAAGCAAGGCCGTGATAAAGCGTAAGTGCCGACAGGCCTAATAGCTCATCGACATCCCTGTGGTCCTTTCGTCAAATACTCGGAAGAAGGTGTACGTGACCACGATCGTGGACGATTACCAACACGCACGTAATGGGGATATCAAAAGATGATAAAGGAAAGAAAGTCGATTAACAGATTAGTCGTCAGTAAGCAGTCGTCAGTGGAAGTCGCGAGTCGAGAGTCGAGAGTTGAGAAGTGAGCGTCAAACCTCTAGTTACGAATTGGTTAACACTAGAACCACCACGCCAGTCAAAACGATTGGTTTTGTTTTATTCATTTAAAATAAAAGTAATTTTGTATCGTGGCTACTTATACCAGTATCAGTCAAACTGATTGGTTATTCTGTAGAGCACAGTCGTTGGAATAAGACGTGATTCCTCGTTTTATAAAGCAATATTCTACAAGCCTCGAAAATGAGCAAACGATTGAAAGCATCCGAATTGTTGCAAAAACTGAGAAGGATACCAATGGAATGCTCCGATATCGAGGATAGTGAATTCTCTGAGTGTGAAGGAGGTGAACCAAGGGAAAAAGAAATTGAAATTTCTAGTGATAACATGAGTGATATTAGTGACATTAGTGACAAAGAAAATGAGTCCTCAGAAAGTGAGCCAGAGAACATTTTGAATGTACGCAAAAGAAGACGTGCTCGAGTGCTTTCAAGTTCTGAAAGTGAAATTGAAAGTGTACAAGCTAGTCGAAATGAAATTGCCGAAGACGGAACCAGGTGGAAAAGAATTCAAGAAGAGTCAGCTTCTGGGAGATTACCCTTGCACAATATATTCAAAGACACATCCGGCCTCACAGGATATGCAAAGAGAAGTATCATGAAAGACAAAGTAATTAGCGCATTTTCCCTACTAATTGACAGCCATATATTGCAACGTATAATATCTTGCACCGAATCAGAGGCCTCTCGAGTTTTGGGTAAAAAATGGACCCTTACAGAAACAAAATTGAAAGCATTCCTTGGAATATTGTACGCGCGGGGAGCATACGAAGCGAAAAATTTAAAACTTTCATATTTGTGGAATACAAAATGGGGGCCAAGCTTCTTTTCCAGCACAATGAGTCGGAATGAGTTTCTTGAAATATTGAAATTTATTCGATTTGATAAAAAAGATGATAAAAGTCGACGTTTGAAAAATGATAAATTTGCACTAATATCAACCATATGGGACAAGTTTATTGAAAACAGCCAGAATTGCTACAAACCTGGTGTAAATGTTACGATAGACGAGCAACTTTTCCCAACCAAAGCGAAATTTTATAATAAAACAAAATTTGGGGTAGATATGGCAGACCGAATGGCAAAAAAATATAGCGTGAGGTTGAAATCAAGAAGATGGCCACTTCAAGTATTTTTTAATATTTTAGATTTAGCTGGCATAAATGCCTGGATTTTATATAAGGAAACCACAGGTGAGCAGATATCCAGAAAAAATTTTATGTTTCAATTAGCAGATGAACTTGCCGCTGACAACGAAAAATCACGGATAGAACAAAGAGCATCTAAGATCCAAAGTACGTCAAAGAACTCAGCTTATTCACGAAAATGGTGTCAGATACGATTCTGTAATAATAATAAGACCACCATCATTTGCGATCTTTGTAAAAAATATGTATGCGGAAAATGCACGCAGATGAAAGTTTACGTTTGTAAGAAATGTGACGAATGATAACTTTGTAATAATTTAAGTTATATTTGTATTTTATTTATTCTATCACACTTATATTTCTTATATTTACCAATGGAAATTTATTTTAATATTCTCGTTACTAAAGATTTTGGTACTAAATATTCTTCATTATTATACTTATTATTATTATTATAGTTGTTATTATATAGTTTTTATAATCTCAGAACATGCAGTTCCTTTTGTAAGATAATAATAAATCAATAAATATAAAAATATTCTGCTATCACGTATTTTTTAAAGACCTCATTTTGACTGGTTTTGGTAGAGATAACTACGTCTCAAATGTCGGTAATTCTAGTGTTAATACACCTTCGCGACGAATACTTCTTTTAATCAGGCTCAAGCTACACGCGCTAGTCAAGTTAATAAACAAACTGCTGAATAAAACATCAAGTATTCACTTGGCACCTTTCACGTCCCACACCTCAATGTTATTTTATAGAAAGCAGCAGTGGACTAACTCACATCGCCACGATGTAAGTCCTCCATAGATTCTCATTTAAAATTTGACAACATTTTATTTAGTTCTATCGAGTCGAAATCAAATCGTTGAAACGAGTGCAAAGTACACAAAAAAAAAAAAAAAAAAAAAAAAAAGAAAATACAATTTCGTTACCAGTTTTTTGCAGAATCTCTTTGGTTGCCCTGTGGTTCAGAGTCAACACAAACAGAATGAAGGAAGAAACTAACGAGCAAAAGTTTCCCTCCAACTCGACAATTTAAAACTAGAATCCCATTCTCCATCGACTGTAAATCGGTTACTTTCAATCGACTCCCTTTCATAGGTTTTTATCGCAATCCCGGATGCATTCTCGCAAGGAGAGAAACTCGATGGGAACTATCATGAGATCGGCCAGTCGTTTCGAGCTTGCCAAGTCGAAAAGTTTCCGAATGACTGATCGAACGCGATTCGTTTGTGCGGCCGGTGATTCCATTTAAAGGATTTTGTTGCGGCAGCTTCTTCCTTTTCCTCTGTATCCGTCAGTATCTACTTATTTCTTGTCATTCCAACGATTTCGAACTGAAATCATTTCAACAATTTTGAAAATTTTCACTATGATATGATTACGTTTGTCGAATTGTTTGCGAGCGAATTAAGAGAGTGAAAGAGAAATTTCATTTAATTCTTTATGTTCATGTATTATGGTATGTATCGTACCATATTGTAGAGAGAGGGCTTAATGATTTCAAAAAAAAGAGTCACGTTGATTTACTCTTAGATATTTAATGTAACAAAGGCGACCGAAGTCTCGGATCTTTTAACATTTGCTCGGTGAGTGACTGAAACCGATCATCAATGGTTCGATGTCGGGGAATGTTTAGATTATCGACGTTCGGTACGCAGCTGACACCGATAACTGACACGGGTTCTTGTGAAAGGTATACACCTTTTATTGCCTACAATATACATATATTTTATTAGTTATTTTGTTTTATAAAATAGGTATGTGGCGGATCGGTACCAACAGGACGCCGGCAGGTCGAGGCATCAACGCGGTGCAACGCCGTCCCGGGTACCAACCGCCAACACCAGAGGGCTACGACAACAACGAGTCTGTCTATCTCGCTAGCGGTCGAATTTACGGGCAAACGATACAAATACCGCACCTAGCGAGACTCCCTCTACGTCTAAGGTAGGGACTACCAGGCATAGCCTTACTGACGAGTCCACCGGTAGTCCCGGGACGAAACGCAAAACTCTCTTTTGATTCGCCACATTGGTGACACCGACGTGATCGGATGGACTTCGAAACTGAGGTGCGACCGTGATGACGCCACCGAGACTTCAAAGCCGCGACCTACGACTGTGGAAAACTGGACCTCTATCGCTACGACGAACACGAAACGACGACGACACGCCACCGTAGCGCGAGTATCCACCGCCACGTTGGTGACCACCGACGACGAATACGCACCTTTGGAGAAGGAGTCAGAGAAGGAGCTAATCACCTCGTCCCCACGATGATCAGCCTTCCATCATCGACGACGAGCCATTCCCTCTAACTTGTATCGCGCTATATAGCTTTGGGATCACGCTATAGCACTAGGGGGAGGCTGTGTGGCGGATCGGTATCAATAGGACGCCGACAAGTCGAGGCATCAATGCGGCGCAACACCTCCCGGGCGATCCGCGGGTACCAACCGCCAACACCAGAGGGCTACGACGACAACGAGTCTGTCTTATCTCGCTAGCGGTCGAATATACGGGCGAACGATACAAATACCGCACCTAGCGAGACTCCCTCTACGTCTAAGGCAGGGACTACCGGGTATAGCCTTACTGACGAGTCCACCGGTAGTCCCGGGACGAAACGCGCAACTCTCCTTTCTTCCGCCACACAGGTATTTCTAAACTATTCATATAATTTATATACTACGCACAAATATCTTTATTAATTATTATGACATACATACATCCGCAGAACTTAAAGGAGTTAGTATTTATAATTAATATTAGGGTTCCATGAATATCTGTTTCATAGCAGATGAGCACATTTAATGAGATAGTATTTTAAAATACCTGCCAGGTATAAAAGGTGTTGATTAAGAGTGTCATCCGTAAACGGGGAAATCAAAACAATATAATTGGACGAACACTGATTGATGATGATTTTAGACACGTGGGTGGCTACAACAGTGGCTACAAATTTCAATGTTATACACGATTCATCATGTGGAATGATGTATCGTTTACGCACCGAGAATTTTCAAACAACTCCAAAATCCATTTTCATGGTTATAAACATTTAGCATTTTGTGGGAAAAGACGGGCAGTTTATGCGGTTTATTGGAAGGATATAATGTCATTATTGTCATTGAAAAGATACATATACGATCTTGTATATCAAAAAATTGGTCAATTGATGCATCAAAGGTTGAAGGTAGAGGTTGAAGATACCACCAGTAGGACATATTAAAAACAAATACTTTTAACTTTCCTTTCATACGAAACAAGATACAATATGAGTTACATCTATATATTAAAAATTAGTCACATGAGATATTTCATTCAAAGCGCCGAATAAACGAAACATAAATACAACTCGTCAATCGTAATCGTTCAATCATAATGTCTATCATGAAAGAAATCGAAGGAACGTTGCATTCTCGTTTTCTAAAATTCAGGAATAATTATTCAGCACCATGCACAAAAGCACTGATACTTGCTAATTAATATTTCAAACAAAACAACCGATATCTCGATACATCGTCGGGAACATTCGCACATAAAGAGCAAAGTCTGGTTTGGCAGACCGGTCGAGATATCCCAATCTGTTGCGAGACTACGTGACTCAACTTACATTAGTCTTATCGGGCACCACGTTATACCGGGGCGAGACTGAAGTTGCTAGACCTAAATCGTGTCGGTGAACAACTGTGCAGATCCAGGAGTTGACGCGCGCTCAACTTTGAAATCGGCTTGCATTAATATAACGGAGATAATACGGTGCCTGAACTCTGGTTTCCTGGGTTCACAGAAAATCGTGAGTTCACGCGTGAACGGAGTTATCGAATCCTTGGCGTGCATTCTGGAGAGATATGCATCCGTGAATACCACGATCATGGCGAACAGGAACGAAAATCTTTCCATTGTACGAAAATATTTCTAAAATAAAAGTGTTAAAATCATTCACTACCAATCGTGTAGCTCTTCTATATTTTCAAGTGCGAAATTTCTGCTTGCTCCGCAGGTCGATTCCATCGAATGCTCTGGTCCTCTATTAAACTATTAAACTGATGTTACTTGTTACCATTACATTGAAGCTGATGCTGTTACATGTTACTATTCTTTTGAAAGAGCTTCAATGGATATATTTGATCGGACACTACTACGTTTGTAAAATACGTACATACATATACGCTTGAAGACTAAGGAAAAAAGTGATAGGTGCTTTTTGTCGAATTTGCAATTTTTATGCTATTTATTGGCTGAAGAGAGTAGTTAACCCTGCAGTGATCTTTAAAATTTGATGCATCGATCTTGGCCTTGTTTTAATAAAAAAGAAATGCTTTTAACTTTTAGGTTTTCAATAATCATACCGTTAAACTCGCCCTCCATATCTATGACCTGTGGGTGTACGAAAATCTAAACTGGACCAAAACCGAGTGTACGTAACAATAGGTTGAAATAGAACAAAACCTGTACGGATCCAGACAAGACCGTACAGTTTTTGAAACAGAACGTTAATAGATCGAGACAAGACTGCCTACGGCTTCAAAAAATGGATAGAATGTGAGCTTGAATCTAGGTAAAGGTAAATAGAACAAGAAATATCTTTGCACGAAGTTGTATAACAGACACAAGGAGAAAAAGTATGTGTCTATAACATAAAACTGACATAAAATATTATGTTTAATGCATTTCCAGAAACATGTTAAATCATAGATGAAAATTGAAATAGAAACGAAAGAAAGAACAACAAAGAAAGAAATACAAACAAACTTATCATTCAACAGATGAATAAAAGTGCCATAAAATGACCAGTTCAACCCAATCACTGGTATGATTGACGAACCATAGACGCGATAAAAATTTTTTATCATTGGCTGCACGCATTCATCGACCAATTATGTGCACAGAAGTTATAAAAATTACAAAGGATCTAAGTGGAAATAGCCATTTAAATATTCAGTATCTCGCGAACACGACTAACTCCAACTGAAACTCGTCAGTTCTCAAACGAACGTTAATGCCTCGATCCGATTCCTCAATTCGACACATTTTCTTCCACCCAAGCATACGAAGCACTATGAGATTTACTCGTAAGGTGAAGAAAACGCGGCCCCAAGCTATTAATACATTCCTGTTATGGATAGGAAGATAACGAAGACAGAAACAGTGGAAAACTGCAATTTCCAAAAAACTATAACAATTATACAACGTTTCGTCCTTTCGTTCACGACGTGTGACTATAAATACACTCACACACCCATGACGATGAAAATCGATGACAGAAGTAAATTAATTCGCTCTAATTTGGTTTAATTCAAACCGGTTCGACAATGA